AGAGAAGAGAGGAGAAAGAGAGAGAGCAGAGAGCGAGAGGAGAGCGAGGTGTAGAGAAACCGAGGGGGAGAGAACCCGAGTGTGTGTATGCGTGTGCGTGTGTGAGCGCGAGCGAGCTTGCGAGGGAGAAGAGCGAGAGAGAGTGCGAGCGAGAAAGAATAAAAGGAAAGAAGATTTTCTCTATGTATATAAAGATGGCCACGTTAGCAAACGGACAGGCTGACAACGCGAGCCTCAGTACCAACGGGCTCGGCAGCAGCCCGGGCAGCGCCGGGCACATGAACGGATTAAGCCACAGCCCGGGGAACCCGTCGACCATTCCCATGAAGGACCACGATGCCATCAAGCTGTTCATTGGGCAGATCCCCCGCAACCTGGATGAGAAGGACCTCAAGCCCCTCTTCGAGGAGTTCGGCAAGATCTACGAGCTTACGGTTCTGAAGGACAGGTTCACAGGCATGCACAAAGGTGAGTGCACCTTTCCCTCCCAACTTTGCCGGGGAGAAGGAGCGGGCGGGCCGGCCGGCCGGCCGGCGACGGACGAGCGGGAGACGGCGCGAGAGGGAGCCTCGGGCGGACGCCGAGGAGGGAGGCGCTCGGGCAGCGGAGACCAGGACTGGGGTGCGTGGGGAGCTGTTCGCTGGGGCAAGGCTGGATTTTGGGCGAGGAGCTGATAGAAGCGGTGCGGTGGGGAGAGCAGCGGAAGCAGAATATGGAGAGAAAGAGAGGATCGAGGGGAAGCGGGGCTTGGATTTTTGGGTGCAGCGACTTGAAAGACTGGGACGGGGACAGCTGCACCGGCCGAGCCCGGGACGCTGAGCAGACTGGCGGGCGCTCAGCGGGCCAGGGACCGAGGGTGCTGTCCATCGCCGTGGTGCTGAAAATATTAAGAGATGGTCTCCTCCTTCTCCGCTCCGGGCCAGAGTAGCAGGAGCGCAGCCGTCTAAAAAGAAGAGAGGTGACAAATTCAGAGAGATATTTTTATTTCGCTATCAATTTAACAGTAAACTCTCCCTGTCGAGCTATGTGCCTCAATAATCCGGTTGTGGTGTGAGTGGTGGGGGAGGGGGTGTTTGATGTTTGAAGGAAGGAGGGACAAAACCTAAGGCAAGAATTATCAAGGAACCAGCCATCCCCTGGGTGGAGTGGGGGGTCAGGGAAGCCTGAATGATCCCCTTCTCAGGAAAGCGGAGCTTTGGGGGAAAAATCTGTGTGTGCAAGATATGCATTTTGAAGGGTGTAGCCTAAATTATCCCAAACTCACCATGCAGAGAGCTTATAGTACATTATTTCTCTCCCTTGAAGCAATCATTGCTAGTGAGTGCTTGGGGGAGGGGGAGACAGAATAATCAAAGAATTAAAACCCAGCAACTTTTTAGGAAAGTGGTCATGAGAATTGTCTGCAGCCTGCCTGTTTTCTCCTTGTTTTATTATCTTTAAGGCAGATCCCCAAACGTGTTCAGTTGTAGAACGTGTGTGGGTGGCTGGTGGGTGACGAAATTAGCCCAGTGCTCCGCTCCCTAACAGTAATGTATAGGATGTGCAGTGGGGATTAATCCGGGCTGGAGCTGTGTGGGCAAGTTAAATGCTTTCTGAGAGAGATTGATCGTCAGGCAGGGAAGGAGCACCGAGCTAAGGAAGTTGTAAGGGATGTGTATGGACGTTCCGTTTTTAATAAACAGTAGTGTGGAGAGCCACTGAAGATGCTGTGTTAGAGCTGGTGGTTTTAAAGATGAAAACACACACACGCACACGCACACCCACCCACACACAGAGAGCAGCCTCATCCTTGGCCACAAATGGGCTATGAACAGAGCTGATCCTCCGGCACATTAGGTGCAGAGCGCAGAGCTGTCTGGCTCTCTAAGCAGCAGTGGTTTTCACTATCACAACCTCCCTCCCTCCTCCAGCCCTCCCTTCATCCGAATACTAAGCAGAGCTCCAAACTCTTCATAGTTGGAGTCCCAGAGAGCAGTTTTTATTGGCTTTAGCATCTTCCAGCTTGCCTGCTGAGGAGTAAATCTTAAAGTTAATGGCATGTTGAGTAGCACAAAAACACAGCAGAATGGAAATATACTGGGTTTGCTGGGGTGGGGTGAGGGTGGGGGCTGTAATGGAGAGACAAACCAACCTTTATCCAATATGGAGAAAATGTCTGTCTGATCAGAAGAGAGACTGGAAAGGTGAAATGGGGAGGCAGTCTTTGAAATAATATTTCTTTCCTTCCCCCCACCTCAAGTCAACCGTATCTTTATAGTTTTTCCCTTTCCAATCAAGCTCCCTAGAAGCTAATCAAGGTTTGTATCAAATCTTTGTCATTCTAATATGTCCCCAGATTTAAAAATAGTAATAATGAAAATTTAAAAAGCATAAATAGGGAAATCCTTTGCCCATCTTAATGATCAGTTCTTGTGATGATTTAAATTTTTAAAGTTAAAAAAAATTTAGAACCCACCAGAGGCAAAAGACAGTTGTGAAGAGCTGAGCTTCTTAAGAGATCCGGGTTTGGAGCACTTTATTTACTTCTTTATTTCGAAGGAAGATAAACTTTAACAATATTCCTTGGTTTCTTCTCACGATCCCTTGTTGGTATCATCACTATGTTCTTGATGTTATTTGGACTCCCTTGTACTATAGCAAAGAAGTAGAATTATCATCATTTGCATCAGGAAGCCAGAGAAGGTTATATTATAGCTTTATCATATGTATCATATATATACTATATACACATATCTGGCCAGGATTTCTAGGACAAGCAAAACTTCATTTTCTAAATAATTCTTCCCCTAAACTGGCTCAGTCAGTGGCAGGCAGGCCCGTTGGCTCCGGCATGCTTGGTGTCTCATTGTCGCAGCCCACCCTTCATAGCCTAAGCATATATATCTTTCCCTATGAAACTTCCTGCCTCTCTGTCCCTTGGATTTTTATAGGCAGGGTTGGACCACAATGTCTCTAACAGTGCCTGGAAGCTCCAGGAGAGCTGAATAAATGAAGCATTCTCTGAGGTCTGGTTTATTCAGTCCTAGAAGAGTTTGAACTCCTCCTTCGGAGATACAGCCTGATTTATTAGCTAATCCTGATAAAATAAGCCTCCGGCCACCTTAAAAAATTACTCGCTTGCCATTGGTGATTAATTACTGTTAAGTCAAAAAGCATGATGAGGCTTGAAGAATGAGGGTTGCATTTGGCTTCTAGATTTTCCCCAACTCTAAATTGACAACATGAGGCTAAGGATAGAAACATGCCTTTGTTAAGCCTGGTTTTGGGGCATATTTGTGGCTCTTTCTTTCCCCTTCTTGAATTTCTAACTTCTAATGAATCATACTGGTATAAAATTGAGAGACATGACAGGATACTGGCCTCCAGTGTGGATGGCATATGCATGTTATTGGCAAAGAAAAAGAAAGAAAGAAAAAAGGAGAGAAAAAGAAAGAAAGAAGAGAAAAATAAGTAAAAATTAAATTAAATGCATGAGATTTTTAGGTGGGTATCCATTTGTTTGCCACCTGCCATTTCAGGTAACTAAAGAAGGAAGGAGTTCTAAGGGTTAATGGAATACCTGCCATGCGTAGAGTGAACCTTAAAAGGCAATTACTCCAGTCAAATTGGGAGTCTGTGGAGGAGGGAGTGGGTGGGTGTTGTGGAGCAAACCCAGCCGTATCAGAGAAAGGCTGTTGGGCTGGGGAGGCAGCAAATAGCAGTTGTGGACTGGGGTAATTACTGTAAAGGTAAATCCACCCCCTGGAGACTAGAAAACACTTGGGCAGGGGTGGGGAAGATCTGGGTGCTAGGCAGAGAGAGAAAGGAAGAAAAAAAGCCCAGAATTACAATTCAAAGAAATAACACCCAAAGAAGAAAACCTAGTTCAATGCAAACTCTCCCGGCTAACTCAGTGTCTTCTTTTCTGCCCCCATTAGAAGCACTTTGAGAAAGATTGTTTTTTCCAGGCTCCAAAGAGAAAGACATTGTACTATTGATTAAAGAGGAGACAGGCAAACTCCCCGGATAGCAGCACAAGTGAGCTGAGGACCAGTTTGGTCCCTTCCTATAGAATTTTTCTCCCTTGGGGAAGGGAAGAGGTCACCCACTAGTCTAATTCTTTCCTTATCTCACTTTACATTTATTTCTCTTTTCTTCTTTTTATTTCCTGGAGAACAAACAGCAGTGACTGAAAATACATACACACGCATTCCCATGCCTGCTAACACACACACACGCAGTCGGTGGATCACACATGAACAAGCCAGCAATCCATTCATAACTTTGGTCTTGTCTAGCAGGATAGAAGGCAGCAAAGACTGAGTTACTGGGAGACATAAAGACTAGTGCTCTCTGGATAGCCATATTATAATGCATTATCTTTGAAGTCATTTAAGTCCAATTTAAGTGGTATTTAGTATAATATTTATGAATTAATGTAATCTAAACATAAGGCTGTCCCCAAAGGTTTAAACAGCCTTTACTACTGATGTGTGCTTGTTCCCAGAGCCTGCGATGCATTTTAATCTAAACAGCCAAGTCCATATCACAGTCCCTCTTGTTAACCAGTCAGAACAAATCTGTGCCTGGGTAACCACTCTGCATTGAGATTTCCCCCTACTGCGTAGAGGAAAACCTAGTCTACTGGCAGCCCCAGGGTGCTCCCAACCCAGGATCCACAGCTTCAGGGACTTCAGCCCCTCATACTTTCACACTACATCCAGAGGGAGGGTGGGGACAGAGTAATAGAACCTTCTGTGGACAGAGCTCTGGAGAGTATTTCATTTAAAAATATACTCATCACCCGATACACAACCTCTCATTTCAGCGGTACCTGACAAGGAAGTACCTGAAGCCCCTTGATTTGGGGTGCTGCTGGGAGAAAGGGAAATAGCAAGTGTCATGATTGTTTTGGTGATTCTTGACCATCTTCATAAAACTGTGCCTTATATTTTCATTTAAGATGTAGCCATTTTCAGAACATCAAGTTTCCACCGCTTGACTTTAGCCGGGAGGGCTCCTTGTTTTTTTCCTTAGGTAGGTGAATTAAAGCCAGTGAGGCTCTATCTGATTTCTGTTTTCAAATGAGTCTAAGAGACAGTGAAGCTGAAGTATCATCATGGGCATCAGCTCAATTCAGATGAACTTTTAAAAAAAATTTACTTTGAAAAATAAAAATTCAGTCTGTCCCGGGAAAGACACTCGTAGAATGACTGGGCACACACCTATAGTTTTTAAAAGAAAGATTTGCCTTGTGAGAAAGAGGTATGGAAAATGAGATAAGAAAAACATTAAAAAAAATTCACTAAAGAAAATAAGCAATAGTAATCATTGCAAAACTAAAGTAAACCAAAGTAACAGCCCCCATAAAAAAATCTTAAATCCCAGATGTTTGTAAGTATTCTATTTAGGAGCAAAGAAAAACATTATTGGGAAATATTTGATTTATTGAAGAGACTGGTGGTTATTTGCTGCTTTACATAATTTTATTTA